CAAATTTTTTATTTAATATGCAAATAATGAATTAATGAATAAACAGATTGCTTGTGCCAAAACCATAATCTCTCGTAAGAAGCTGTTAAGAAGAGCAGCTCGCATGGCTCGCCATGTTTGTTTTATGAGAGCATTTTTCTGCTCTTGCGCTTGTTTACTCCTGCCAAGGCTTGCCGTATATAGATAATATTTTTGTATCAATTTTTTAAATTTAATATAAATATTTAATAAAATAATAAAATGACTTTTTAAGATTTTCTTAATATATTGTTTTAGTTCAAAATTATTTGACTGTTGTTTATAAGTTGATGGAGCATGGTTACCAAGCCCCAGATCATGATGATGAACAGGTACTCAATAATAATCTTAGTTATTCAGTTTATTCCTAGCAGTCTTTGAGTTTTATTCATTCCTAGTCTTTGATTTTTCTTATGCTTTTATCAATAAATATTAGTTTTGGCTTATAACCTAATTCCGAAATATAGTTTATGTATTTATATTATTATTGTATCATTTTTTAAATTTTATACTTCTTTTTCTTTTTAATGTAGTTATATTATTCATTATTCATTATATTCAGAAAACCTTGATTTTAAAGGTTTATTAAAAAAGGTTTAAGTGATTTAAAATATAATTATTCATATCTAATAAATATTTTTAATAAATATCTAATAAATCCTTTTTATCAAAAAAATACCAAGTTATTTTAGGTCAGATTTGTCAAAATCCATGGGCTTTATAATAGCATATTATAATCCCTGCTTGTAAAATGAAGTTGTTTCATTGTTTAACAGGAAAGTTTGAATAATAATAATAAAAAAAACTAATAAAAAATCTTCTTAAAAACTATATCTTACCTACAAGCTTGTAATCATAATATATATTATCCAAAAAATTTTTTTTTGTTTGTTTATTACTTAATGTCTTGGTGGGTTTCACTAATTAACTATCTATAAAATTGCTTTGAGTCAAGGTCTGTTTTTGAATATTAAGGATTGCAAACAAGTTTCAAAGCAGTTTCAAAAACTACTGAAATTTCAAAATTTAAATTTCAGCTTTTAAAAGATAAAACAAAAATAAAATTTATTTTATATGCTAATCAGAACTTGTTCTAATAAACTTGCATCAACCAATCAATCAAAAAATTTGATTAATGCAGGTTTGTTAGAATAAATAATACATGTGCTAAATAACATGCAGGTCCAAAAATACATAATAAACATTGACATCATGCCCCAAAATTACATAATAAATTATAAAACTATAATTGCAAAACAAATATACCATAAGTAACAAAACAATGTTTAGCATATAAAATGCGATTAGTGACAATAGTATTTTTTAAACATTACTGAGTTAATTTTATTTTTAAAGCTGTTCATATTTTTGGCATTAACTATATGACAATTATTACAATTTTTAGTAACTGCAAGAGGAACAATATTTGCTAAACATTTAGTTGACACCTTAGTTTGCATAGCCTAATTTATGACCATTGATTGAATTTCCAAGGGACAAACCTCGAAAAAGCACAATACAATGAACAATAGAGTTACTTTTCAAACAAACTCTAGATAGCATTTTCCAAAATTTAATATCTCTAAAACCTACATCTGAATTTTTTTATTAATTTTTAAATTTGCTTTATTTTTGCATGCAAAATCATTATTATGCACTTTTTTTATTACATTTTGGTTAAAATATTATACTTTCAAATAAAGAAAATATGTTTATAATAAATAAATAAAGTATGTTTGTAATAAATAAAGAAAATATGTTTATAATACTTAAAATAAAGTATTTTTAAAATTTTGTATAAAATGTATTTTTTTATCTGCCAAATTGTTACATTAAAAAGTAAGTAATAATTTATTTTTACTAAAATATTTTTTACTTTCAAAATTTTAATTACAAAGTAACTTCTTATTAGGCACTTTTTACACTGCTTCAAACAGGAGATGTAACTCTTGCAATAAACAAACGACAAGAACAAGAAAGTCACCCTACAGATATTGCTTTATGGTCAGAAGAAGAATGTCAAAACTTTGAACAAGGTTTTTATTGAGTTTCTTTTTTTTTTGTTTAATTTTACTTATCTACAAATTCAGTGACATGGCTGGCTGCCAATATTGAAACTTTTTTGGTTTGACAATTTAAAAAACAATTAAACACAGAATAAATATTACTAATAAATTAATTTTATTATTATTTTTTAAATATTAGTTTTAGCCATGTTTTATGAATTTTATCTTTAATTATTCTCAAGAGAATATGTATGCATACACATTCATTTGAAATCAAATATTACATCACTAGCATAAATAAAAAATCATACAAAAATTAAATGATCACATGAATGTATGATTTTCATTTTTATTAAATTTATTATTATTATTAAAATTATTATTTTATATATATTTATATTATATTATATTATATTATTTATATATATGTATTTTATATATATTTATATTATATTATATATATTTATTATTAAAATTATTATTAAATTTTTATTAAAGATATTTCTAACGTGGATTATTAAAATAAGTGGATTATTAATTTTATTAAAGATATTTATAACGTGGATTTATTTTGTTATTAAGGTGCTTTAAGAAATCCTTTTTTTGTCTTGACTCAGAGTAGGTTCAGCAATGTTTTTTTTTTTTTTTGCAAAACCCGACTATGTATGCATTTAATATTGTTTACAAAATTTCATTGAATAGCAATAATTGGTATTCAATTAAGTAAAAATTAATTAAGTAAAAAAAAAAGACCAAAGACAAATATTTGTTGATGAATATTTGTCTTTGACAAATATTCGTTGATGATAGTCATAAAGTTACTATAGGCTACTTAGTTTTTAAAATTATTATTTGCTGGTGCTTAATGTATATTTATGTAAAGTTTTTATTTTTTTAAAGTTATAAAATTGTCTTTAGAAAATCTTATTATTATATATTAAATTATTTCATTTCAAAAAATGAATTAATTACAATTAATTACAAAAAATGCCCAAGAACCAACTAAATTCAATATGATTTTAATTGTGATTATCCGTGTTCCAAATTTAATTTTAAGATTAAATTTAATCTTTAAAGTTTTTGAAAATATGTTCTCCAAGCCAAGCATAAGTTATAAGTCGAAAATAGTAAAGTAGTTCATTCATCATTACAAAAAAGCTTTGTAAAACAAGTTAAATTTTCATAAGGGTTTAATTTAGACTTATCATAGAAGTTGTTCTGTGCAGATTATTTATGTTAGATTGCAAAGCCATGGTATTAATAAAAGATTTAAGTGATGTGAGCACAGAATAATGGGTATATTAACTGTTAGGGTAAATGTGAATATGATCAAAAATAGTTAAGTTAAATGAACAGAAATTTTTATGGTATTTTTTATTTAAATAGAAAGTTGATATAGATAATTTTAGTAGTTAAGGAGGTACAAAAATTTAAAGCAAAAAGTTCCTGAATTTGTATCTTAAGTAATCTAGGTATCTAATTTTTTTTTTCTAGATTAAACATTGTTTGTTTGGCATTTATTAGTTCATTAAATAATGGGCTCCCTCTCTATTTTGTGACATAATTTTGATAGTACTATGATAGAGTTTTGATTGTACTAATAATGAATAGCTTAATTTTATTGATGATTTAGTATTTTTTGTAGGATTGCGTGTATTTGGGAAAGATTTTCGTCTAATCCAGCAAAATAAAGTACAGTCTAGAACAGTTGGTGAAATTGTTCAGTTTTATTATCTTTGGAAAAAAACAGAACGTCATGATGCTTTTGTCACTCAGACCAAACTTGGACGTAAAAAATATGCTATACCAGGCATTGCGTGAGTCTTATGAGTTTTATTCTTTTTATAAACTTTGCATATTTTAAAATATCTATCAACTTATATTAATATATTACTTATATTAACTTATACAAAAGTATTTATCAACTTTATAATTTTCAATTATCTACCAACAAAAGCCATAATTTTATTTACTTAAACTGTATTAGGCACAATGTTAGCATTTCCTGCTTTAATTAATATATATATGCATACATACATACATACATACATACATACATACATACATACATACATACATACATACATACATACATACATACAGGCTTGGACAGGAATGGTGTGCGATCGCACTGATCACGCTAATATTTTGTTTTCTTTCCAACTTGACCACGGCTATTTTGATGTTTTAACAATTTGAATGCAATAAAAAAAGTGTTACATTAAAATTATCTTTTAATTATATATATCGTTATATATAATTTTTTTTAAATGTAGGCATGAATTTTTTATAAAAAATTTAAACATTTAAAACTATTTTTTCATGTCTTCTTAAAACATATTTAAACCATTATTTTTAGAAAGAACTTTTTTAAGATAATGTGTGAATAAGTTCAAAAGCTTTTGTGACTACTGGCTTTTACACATTTTATATGAATTACACAAGAATATAAAATAACTTGATTTACTTATATAAGCATGTATTTTGTTGATGAATGAAAAAGTTTCGAAATGTTCATACAATTAATTTTTTTATTAAATTTACGATTTTTTTAAATGTTTTAAATGAACATTTTATTTTTTGTTAAAAAATTATTATTATTATTTTTCAATTTTGATAGGAATGAATGACTTTAAATCTTTTATAACTATCTTAATTAAATCTTTTAAAACAATTTTTAAATTCGTTACATGGAGCACTTATTAAAAAAGTTGTAATGCTCGAATTAAAATTAAATTAAAATGCTTGTTGGCAGTTTATTTTATTTAAATTGCAGGCGGATTTTATTTATTTACTTTTTTTCTATTTTTACGAATAAAAAAGTTGAAAACCTTTTTTTAAATTAGACTACTAATTAGAGAATAAAGTTATTTAAAAATTATTATTTTAAATACACTACGTTATTTTTTTAAACAATTTTTTTTGCAACTTCTTTGAAAAAATAAATGTTTATATAATTTAAAAATATTATATGCAACACTTTTTAATAAATTCAATAAAATTTGTTCATTTATTAAACAATCATTAGTAGTAATTTGTTACTTAATTTAAAAACGTTTTTCGCAACTTTATTACATCTAAAAAGATAAGCTTTAATAATGTTTATTTCATACGTAATTAAGAACGTAACAAAAAGTTTCGCTTCGAGTTATGGTTTTTATTTTTATTTTAGTGCTTACATAATTTCTTTTTCGTTTCTTTTTTCAATAAAATTTTTTTTTTTGTTGGTTTTTTTTTAAAACTTGTTTCCTAGTTTAAGTTTAGCTTAGCGTTTCTAAACAAAGCATTTCTGAAATTTTTAAATCATCAAAACTTATAAAGAATATACAGTATGGTGCAAAACTGAACCAGAGTTTTTAAAAAAATACAAAATTATGGTTTATTTTGTTTTCGATATATTAGCGCTGTCTGGATTATTACAGTAGTAAAGTGCTAATTTTTATGACTTTTTATGCCTCCTCCTTTTACCCCAATTCACAAGTATTTTTATCTAGTGACAAACATCTTTTGACTCAGTTTTGCACCATACTTGATGAAGGCAATATCTTTATTATTTTTCTCAAATTAATTTTATAATTTTGAGTGCAAATAAATTGACTATATTTATATCTAAAATAATTTTCTGTTTTCATAAATTTTATTGTTTAAATTTATTGCTTTTGATAGTTTTTTAATAAAATGAGAATTTCAAAGACAGAGAGCAATTTAATAAAAAAAGATGATCGAAGAAGGAAATACAACTCGTAAAATTGCTTCTAAATTAAAAGTTAGTCAAAGTACTGTGCAACGAATTAGAAAAAAATGTGGACATATTCTGAAAAAAAATGTTGGCGGTCGACCAAAGAAGTTGAGTGCGGTAGACAGTAGAAGAGTAATCAGATATTTGACTACTGGAGAAGCAAAATCGACATCTCATGCAGCTAAACTTTTGCAACGTGATACAGGAAAAAATGTGAGCAGGTGGACAGTGCAGCGAGATCTCATAAAAAGTAAATTTCGAGCAATTGAAAAGAAGAAAAAACCATTACTTAGTAAAAAAAATATCAAAGCAAGATTAAACTTTGTAAAAAAATATGAAAACTTTACCGAAGATGATTGGAAGAAAGTTATTTGGTCAGATGAAACTAAAATTAATCGGTATAGCACAGATGGCCGCCAATGGAGCTGGAAAAGAGAAGGTGAAGCATTAACCCAAAAAGATTTTATTCAGACAGTAAAACATGGGGGAGGCAATATTAAACTATGGGGGTGTATGACGGCTTATGGATTGGGACCTATTCGAAGAATAGTTGGAAACATGAATAAGGAAATGTATCTTGATATTTTACAGCATGAATTATTGGAAACTGTTGAAAATATGCCTTACCCAATAAATGAGGTCATCTTTCAACAGGACAATGACCCAAAGCACACTGCTAAAATGGTTAAGAATTGGTTAGCTTCGCAGGACTTTCAAGTGCTAGAATGGCCAGCACAAAGTCCTGATTTGAACCCAATAGAAAATTTGTGGTCACAATTAAACTATATAAATATAACTATTCTGACCCTTCATCATCCATTAATGTGTTATATGAACGAGTTCAAGAACAGTGGAAAAATATTTCGTTAAACCTTTGCGAAAATCTTGTAAAGAGCATAAATAGAAGATTAGCAGCAGTTAAAAAAGCTAAAGGATTATGGACAAAATATTAAAAATTGACAAAATTGACAAAAATTGACAGTTTTTTTATGGTGGTGCAAAAGTGATTCACCATGTTTTTCATTTATTATTTTGTAAGTAAATATTTTTCTTCAATAAATACTTAATAAAAATTGTTTTTTTAATAATAGTTCCTACCAGCAATATTAATTCTCAAAATGCTTAATTCTTTATAAGAAAATAAAAATATTATGCATTCTGGTTCAGTTTTG